ACTTGTCAAAACCAATTTGCTTTCCTATTATTCCCTCAACTGATTTCACCATGACCCCTCCTCACGGCCCTCCCTCCACAAATCCTCGACCCTCTGCTTCCCTCAATCGAAACTCCCAACGCGACCTGTGCAACCCCTAAACTCCCTCCTCCCCCACCTCTGTGGACTCCTGTGATTTTTTCTTTAGACCCTGCCCACTTCTGTACCACTCTTATCTGTCTAAATGCTGGGGAGAGATTTCTTTCATCTCCTGGCAAACCTTTAGAGGGAACACAGCAAACGGTGGTGAATGAGCCCATCATACACTCACTAACAGGCCTTTGTGCGAATGAAAGCAGACAGTGAGTCACCGACTACTAAATAAAACTTGTCTAATAGAGACCAGCGAACCTGAAAAACTTTTGGTTTGCCAGCACTGGCAGCACTTCCACCATCATATCCTGCACAGCCCTTCACCCCACTCTGCACCCACCCAATCCCTCCCTCTTCCGTCAATTAGCGCCTCACCAGTGACAACACAGAGGATCTTCATTAGCGGAGAATGCTCAATTATATCAGTTGATATTCCTTTCCAAAACTAATTATCCCAGTTGAATGGTACGGCTGACTGAGCCTGCCCCCACCCCAGGGCGCAGCGGTTACTGATGTGATTTGGTTTTGGCTCCAAGGTCTGCTTTCCTCTTCTCTCTTTTGTTATCCCTCTACACTCATGCAACACAGTCAACCCTGCCATTTCAGAACAGCACCTTCCCTTTCAGTTCTCCATAATATTTGTTGACCCAATGTGTCTTTGTTAAAGTTGTTCACGAAGACTCGTATTATCCATATTCTCACTAAAAACTAAGAACCCTGCGCATATGGATGCAATTCTTGTTTCTCCTGTAAGACACATAGAATTAGCAGAACTGTGGTAATTCTACAAAAAGCTCATCATAGGAGCCCTATCTCTATATAATCCTGCTCCTTTGTTCATCCTGTGGGGGATAGCAAAAATAGACAGCTTGTACCACAGCTATAGCTGAAACAGAAATGGTGCAAACACTGTCTTCTCAAGAGAGGAGACTAGGAAGGAAGTGAAAACTGCAGAGAACATATGGTGAAGAAGCTAGATGCTGTATATTGGCTCAAAGCGTGTTTACTTGGAATTGATCCACTAATGAATAGCTATGACATCTGAAATATGTTGTTTATGAGGAAAACTGCTAATATTGCTCATGAAATCTGTGTTCTTGTGTCACTGGTTTTCTTTCAATTAAAAAACTATTAAAAGTGCAAATAGTTATATGCATCTCACCACTATGTTAGACATTATAAAAGTCAACAGTTCAACTTGTGAGTTAATTACTGCAGGAACTTAAGGCGAAAACAGAGAAAGTGTCTCACTGAAAGTAATTCTTGTAGGGATTAAATTGAATAGAAAGGCTTAATTTTCTTTCATCTCAAGCACATTACTTCCATACTAATCACTTTGTTTAACATTTCCTGAAAAGTTATTTTAGAGGAAATATTATTCAAATGTTTAATGTACATGCTGTACACTTTTTGGAGTCTGTGCACTGTTTCCTGTCAGCTTCAGGCTCTCTCGGTGGGCTCCTCGCTGCCCTCAAGCCAGGGACCTGCCTCACAGAAGGTGGGCCATTTAGTCACATTTCAAAGTAGCTCAGGCAGGGGAACACACTCATTACACATAATTCTTCTTCTCCTCTTTCCCCCCTGGCTCCCTCTTCAGTCCCCCCCCCACTCTCCCCCTCTTGCTTTCTGTTTCTCTCCTCTTCCCTGTTTCAAAGACCAAAAACCCTCATGGTCCGGAGTCCAGAGTCCGGAGGTAGATCACTTTAATTCTGCTTCACAGATCTTTTTCAAAAAGACCCGAGACCCGGAGACCTCAGAACCGGTGACCGTTGGGTGAACCCGGGCCGACCAGCCAGGACCCGGGCGCTTGTAAACACAGCCAACGTCTCACACGCTCTCATTCCCCCCGAGCGCTTTTGTTCCCTCCCCACAATGGCACAAGCATTTGATGTTGAGCAGTGTGTGCTCTTTTAGCTTGGATGTGTTTGTTTGTTTTTGCAACCACTGGTCATCGTGTCCATCCTTGTCTGTCCTGTTGGCTGTTACTTGGCTGAGAGCAGCTGATCAATGATTTAAAGATATATTGCTTCCCTGGACACGAAGCTCATTAAGTTTCACTGTTGGTTATTTTGAGGGACTGCATCCAAAGCTTAGTCTGACCTGTCCTGGGACAACTGAAAACTGCTCTTTCTCCAGGAGGGGGGGGGACTGTCCTAGATGAACAGGTTTGCTTATGTGGGTCGGACCTGGATTCCACCGATGGTTCATAAGTTCATTTCTCTGTTTGGGAGGAGCCTCCAACCAGAGCCATCTGCCTGATGTCACCATCCCAGTTTATGCAGGGGTGATTTGAGCACGGGCAAAAATTGATTAATTGCTGAAAAACACAAAAGCCCAACAGTTTTTTTGCCTCTTGTATTGACCAGTCTAATCAGTTCTGCTGCAGCCTGCTGTCATTACAAACAGGTAATGCAATCAATACACCAAGCAAATACATACCATAAGGAAAATGAAACGAAGGCCTTAACAGACAATCCAACAGCAAAATGTGGAAGCGTGACTGCTTGTGACGGCAAGCGAGTTTCTCAGAAGACGTCAATCTTTCCAAGACCATAAAAAAACACTCAACAATTGATAAATCCTCTCCGATAACGGCAAAACACATGCACACAAAAATAAAACCGATATGTCACCGTGTAGGACTTTCAGTGGCATTCACAAGGAGTGAAACCAGTCTGGTTTACTTTGGAAACCGCTGTAGACACGAGGATTTTGCAGCCTTGTTGCTTTTCGCACAGCCTCCCTTAAAGGGCAGCCGGCTCATCCCTTTGATGACTGACGGTAGGATTTGCGGTGATAATGTCTTCAGGTGCCAGAGGATTGGGATTAAACATACTCCAATTTAAACAGCAAAGTTTCCATGGCGATGACCTTCAGTTTTAGCTCAGATAGCATACACGTGGGGAATACAGTGACTGGTGTTATTGTCCAGAGACGCTCCAATCCAGCGGGGGCTTTGGACATGATTGCACATTCCAATCCTTCATCAAATTATAAACTCTGTCCTAGAATATGTCTATTGGTGACACGTGCAGGTGAAATTTCACACAGCAGTCATGCTGCATAAACAGTCCCGCTTAAGTGAATCATGACCGTAACACTGTTGAACAGTCTGAATTGAACTACGTGCCCCAAAAGACAAACTTCAGACACCCCCAGCTACACCTCAGCAGCACCTCGACCCATCGACCCTCCATCAGCCCTTCAAGTTTATGCAAGCCTTCCCCTCCCACCCTAATTAAGGTGAAAGAAGCATTTCAAATAAAGCTGATGAGGGCCGACATGGGGCCGCTCTCTTGGCTGTCTGTGGACGTGAGCACCCAGAACAGGCTCCAGCTGAGCAAGACTGGAGACTCACGGTTTGGGGTCAGTGTCTATCCCCCTCCAGGGCAGTCCGTTCACACTCTCACACCTGCCTGTCAAAGGAGAGAGCAGCAGGACATGAGCAGAGAGAGAACAGAAAGAGAGAGAGAGAGAGAGAGAGAGAGAGAGAGAGAGAGAGAGAGAGAGACTGTCAAAGCAAGAAGCAGAGAGAGAGAGAGAGCGTTTTCACATTTTTAAATAAAGTACAAACCCCAGCAGACAGCAATAAAACAGAACAATTATTATCACTATTGACTCAAGCCAATCTCAGCAGCACCCTTGAGGAGTGGTTGGTCAATATGAATTGCAACAGTCTTGTAGATTTGACGGCATGTAGTGAAGTCATGTGGTGTGGCTAGACTGCCTCACAGTGGAGACTGTGTGAACTACAAGAACATACCTGCTAGGAACAAGATGCTACTACGGGTGTATAGGGAGCGATACATGCAAAAAGGATGAATCCATCAGCTTAGATTCTTACAAGCACTCATATCGCTAAGACCCCACTTTCTGTTCATAGTTAGAAACTAAACTGCTAATGGTGTTTGGCATTCACAACATGTTATGTTATTTAAAATGCTGAATTTGTTGTCAGTCTCTGAGACTGTAAAATTCTTCCTCAACACTTCATCATACAAATTAGTAATTCTTTTATTCTTTGACTTGCTCATTTATTTTTATTAGTAGCATAAAGGGAACTGTATGTAAATGTCATTCTTCCACCCTGCGTTGTAAATGACAATGAAACAACCTTGAATTTTTGAATCCTTCTATTCATGTTTATTATATTGACAGTTTATGTATGAAAGTGGGCACCAAATTTCATGGGAATCTATCTTATAGTTGTTGAGATATTTCAATCAAACTCACAAATGTGGACCTCATGTTGATGCTGTGAAAAGTCCAAGGATCAGCACAGAGGGATTCATTCTCTAGGGCAGGGGCAGGTATAGAAGAAATCCATGGCCACCCCAGTTCGGAGTTAAATGTTGTCAAATTGAACATATTAACTGAGATTCATTTTTAAAAAATGTGTTAAAATTTAAATTAATTTAATGATCTGTTAGGGTCACTTATAAGATTAAGTGACAGATATAGGTTCAATGAAAAAAGGCATGTGTTTGGAAAAAGAAGAAGATATAGAAATAAAACTATTTATTGATGTACTAATATGACACAATAATGTCATTTTTTTGAGTTAAAATAACTCATCTGGGATCTTTTCCTAGAAAACATTGATATATGTCTTTGTTTGTGATAAAATCAGCATATATTTCTGCCACTTCTGTCATTTCTGCCAAAACTATGAACCCAAATATTAGCATAATATGTCTCCCATGCCATCTTTTTTCCATCCCATGAATATTTCTCTAGATCCACTCCTACTCTAGGGACCATGAATGTCTGATCCAAATTTAACGGCAACCCAGAAAAACGGCGAAAGGTGAAAGATTAAATAATCTCGCCCAATTGACAGTGTTGAAATAATTACATAAACACAGAGGCATTTACAAAACAATTTTTGTAGTGCTTGTATTTACATTATATTTATCATTTAGCCTGTACATCCAATATTAGCTCATATATTCTACACCTACAAATTGTAGAATATATTTCCTTATGATATAATATATACAGTGGAGAAAGGAAGAGCATCTCTAGTGTCTTTAGATTCAATTACATTTAAATGGACTAGGACTTAAAATAATGTAATTACAGGATGATTATAAAATTGTAATTGTAACATTTCAAGGTTCCAAGAAAATTACACAATAAACAGTGCAGAGTATTTGTCATCAACTGGACATTGTTCATTTCTTTTATACAATATATACAGTAACCTCTACTTATAGGCCATCCCCCAGTGAGCTCTGCTTAGGCTCTGTTTATAAACTCAGTAATTCTTTAAGTGACTTTAAACATAGTGGATTAACCTCATCAATGTAACACACCTGGCTGCAGGCATGTAAAAAGGCTTTTGTGGATTTGCAGTGTGTGAGAATTGGATCATCACCACCTTCCAAAATATCTCGCACACCTCGTCAGATGTGTGATTGACAGGTAGGCTAATGATGTAACGACACACCAGATGATTGAGCTCTTCGTGCCATATTTAGCCACAGGAACATCTGCTTCAACCCAAGCCGTGATTGTGAGTATAGGTAAAAAAAAGTAGTTCCACATATTGTGTGCTGAGTATCAAACCAATATTGTGAAACAGATTAACCCAAACAGCATCTCTTATTCTTTAATGTAGGAAGCAAATAACAAATGTTTTCTGCCTGTTATTTCAGCACTTCCCTTAGGATCCTTCAGTTATTGGCTTAGTGAAATCCACTGAAAGACACATCTACATGAGTAGTGCTTAATAGCTTCAATCTAACATGGTGGGTATAATCCACACAGCCACACCAAGCACATCAAGCTCTTCTATGTTTAATATCTCCTTAGTTTTTGTTTAAATATATAAGGTAAGTCGAAAGCAGTGTGGAATGGTAGTAAGGAGGACATCATGTAGTGTGAAATTAGGCATTGTTATTTGGCGTTTTTGAAGTAAATGAAAACAATGTTAGTTGGCATTTGTGTTGCAGATGGATACATGTTTGGCATGATGAAGTTGAGCAGCATGTCTACTTGAATAAGTAGTGGAACAACAGAGGCTGAAACAGCAGCAGATAGTTGAGTCCTGGCAGACGGGAGGCGAAGCTCGTCACATTGCAGTCATCACGGTAGCAGCAGTGAACTCGGACACCTGGTGCTCTGTAGCCCTGGCTGTTGGCCTGACTGCAGAAAGACTTGTAGGAGCATGACTTCATCACCCCACCTGACAAACAGACAGAAATAGAAAGGTATATAGGTATATATATTTGATTAAACTTGTTCCAGTAATAAAACTGCCTGGCTGACTGATTCATCCGGGTTATAAAGCTTTAGTCTTGCTTTTCATTATTGATTTGGGATTTTATCACTTTATCTGTGGGTGTCCAGTATACATATACCATATTTTAATTTGGGTAAACTGGTCCATCTACCATGTCTCATTTATACACAGGATGATGGCCTCTGCTGTTGCCCCACTTTTTGATAATTAACTAGATACATTTTATGTAAAACCTCGCGCAGGTTTAAATTAGTAAATCGAGTTCATTTCGTGAAGAGGAATTGTCTCAGTGCCAAGAACACATGGTGTCCTAATTAAGTATATTGATTGAATAGGAGTAGCAAAGCTCTTCATTTCCTTAAAAGCCTCAGACCCCCTGCTGACTGAGATGTGTCTCCAGACAGCAGCCTGTCCTCCATTAAACACACACACAGATACAAATAGAGTGTTATGTTTCTTCACTGTTAGTAGGGAAAAAAAGGAGAAAGAAAGCTAGTAAAAAGAACGGCTACTACACTGTCACTGTTGGACTCACTGTCATGGCCCACCACCACAGCACAGGCATCAGAGTAGCTGGGACAAGATTTGGAGCCTTGCCGGTTGCAGTCATCGTTGTTGGAGCCCATACAGGTATAACATTGCAGAGCCTCACCTGAAGGAAACAGAAAAGAAATACTGACGCAGCACATCCTAATACGCTGACTTACAGCCAAAACATCATGACGTACTGAAAGAAAGGAGACTAAAGCATAGTTTTATCTTGCAGTTCAGAGAAATGTAGTGTCACTACATGAAAAACAGCCGAATTAAATGTTTTCTTTAAAAAAAGTACAAGCATAATGTAATATTCAAATATAATGTGTGATATAACTTGATTGAATGAAAGTCACACAAAACCATATAATTCCAAGATGAGAAATTGTGCTCAACAGCAAGTTAATGGCAGTTAAAGGTTGCAACTGGAGCACATTTAAAGGGAAATACAGAACCGCGTATTTTAAAGCCAGCCCTATGTTATCTTAAACTGACCTGATGTTATTGCTTCAGTTGATGGGAACTGTTTATGATGCTAATGCAGGATTGCCCACCAAGTATCTCAGTGATAATATAATAATATATAGAATAACTAAAAAACAAGCCCAGTGTCTGATATATTGACCTCTTTCAAAGCATGAATATGCTACTTAATGCTGCTAATGTTACTGCTCCCATGTTTGTCCTTTAAAACCCCATATGACTTAGACATTGGTACAAGTGAGCCAGCTGTGGTTGCTCTGACATGGTAAAAAGGCTGCAGTAGATTGTGGCATACTCAAGCTAACTGCAGTCCATTTATCATCAGTTCTGGTCAAGCAGTGTCTGCAAGGGCCTTGACTCTGGATATTTGTTATCCTTTATTAACACAGGATTTATGGGTTTGAGCCGTATGCACACAGAGGCATGGTGAATTCACATCTGGATGGCAGTAACAGTGATTGTAAAGGTAAGAGAGAGCAATAATTACTCACTTCCTTCACACAAATCTTCCCAAACTCAAGCAAGGAATTAAACAAGTGCGCTCAGATATTTTAAAAAAACACATCTTTCTAACCTTCAGCTAAAGCTTCAGGAGACACTCAAATGTCTTTCTAAAGCTCTCCGGAGGAAAGAGCGGTTATTTGAGAACTAACTGACCTTTGAAATATCACTGTAACACTTCCTTTTGAACAACCTTCATCCGTCTCCTAAATTCTAAAATGGCCCCTCAGAAACAGCCTTTAATGCTGCTTCCTAAGAGGATCAAAAAGAGCTGGACTTATAGGAATTGCCGAAAGCTTCAAACATTCTTTGTAGCAGCACATCTCTTGTCTTGGCCATCAGAATAACCTCTTTCCACCCTATACTCCTGGTCTTTCATCATTCAGTCATGATGGTGGGAGGACAGAAAAGTTGCACAGACACACAAATTGTTGTTTACACAGAGGTACAGACCAGAGTGGGGACATTTTCCCATCAAACCAGCAAATCAGCTTGATGAGACAGAGTATGAATTACTGAAATATCAGATTTTCAGTCCTTTTCTATATATAAAAGCACAACTTGAAAAGCAAAAACATGAAAACAGCATTTGCTTCCCATGTGCCCCTCTGTATGTTAACATGCCACAGCAAATACACCCTGCTGTTTGTAGTTGACCCCAGTCTGCACAGCCGCTCCACACACATGCTATTAAGTATTAGCCTCCAGGCCTATTAAGAGATTAGCTGCTGGGATTGCATGCAAGTTACAGAGGAGGGTGACAGAGTGAAGGGAGGCAAAAGCCAGTAGAATTACCATAGAAATTCACAGCAGTTCGTAAACTTGGCCTAAAAAAGTCATTATAAGGTTGTAAATTAGTCTTATTAGAGTTACATAACATGCAAGGCAATTTCTGCTGTAGTGACTGTAGTGTTTTCCATTTCCTGTCCTGAAGGCTATTTTGTATAATAAAGTCACTCAACAGGTTCCGGCCTCTCAGGAAAAGACTAAAATACAGAAAAAACACAAATGCAAACTACTGTTGGAAATTCAACAGTGGGAAGGGAGAAGAGCACCTGAAGGGAGACAACAAATGGAAGTCCAAATGACTGATGAATGGTGGACAGAGGCTAGAGCAGAGATCTAAAGGGGGGGAAGAACTTGAAGATAGGAAAAGGGAGGTTATTAAAAATAAAATCCTTGTCCTTACTGTTGATTGCTAGCAGAACCAGAGAAAGCAGAAGCAGTGGACAGTACTGGACAGCTCTCATGGCGCTGGCGGTCCTTGGTCTTCCTGATCACACAATGAGAGCAGGTTGTTTGCTCCCAAAGCCCCCTGAGCCTTATCTGAGCTATCAGATGAGCTAATATCCCCCCTCCTGCACTGACTAGGAGATTACCAGCTTTTTCACCAGGACCCACAGCTCTGTGTTAAGTATCAATAGTTGCTTCTTCAGCCTGGATAGGCAAAGGAGACAATAGTAGTAGATACCTTTTACCTTAAAGACGTCTGTGCTCTAGCCACACCCATTCCGAGTCTAGCTCCCTGTCCCCACCTGGTCCAATTCTTACGTCACCCTGTTGCGCCAGGGCTGATCATGACGAAGCTGATCTCTGAACTGAAGTTTATACATCAGATCTACATTCTACATTATAGTTTTAAGAAGTAAATCACTGCAACATTGCAATCCTTTAAAGCTTTGGTTCCTAACCAAACCTAACATGACATGTCTACTCATTTCTTTGTACAAGACAGTGTGACTGGGGGTCAGAAGCTCGATGTTGAACCATTTATCCATTTCTTTCACACTTTCACACACGATTACAACACTTGGCATGAAAGCATGTCCTGTTTAGTAGTTAACTGGTTATTGTGGCAATAAATATACCAAATATCAGCCTCAGAGCAATTTGTAATTTATTTGTGTGTTTATTTTCTTCCAAAATGCAAATATGTGTGTATATGTATATTTTACCAAATTATAGTGTTTTGTTGTGCATCCACATTCACCTTGGCATTTTCAGAAGTATTCCCTGTGGTACACATAACCCTGAAAAGGAATCGCTGATCTAAAGGAAGAGAAAAGGTGACAATAAACCCAAAAACAAAGGTCTATTGCATCAGTGCACATTTAAACATGAACAAGATCACCTGTGCTTGTGTATCTTGTTTCCTTATGCGGGGAAAGAACAAGAGCAAACACCGTGTGCTGTATTGCCATCTTTTATTGCACTTTGTAAGCAGATGCTGTACAGTAGCTGTGCAGAGAAGTTATTCCTCAGTGTGACACAACGACCATAGCAGGACTAGGACATATCCATCCAAAATTAAATTACTCTTGGTCACAACTGAATACAGTCACGATTAGTTTGCTTTATATCAAAATAAAATCCAAAAAATAGTCCCACAATTTCATCGAGAAAGCTATGACAAGTATGACAAATATCTACAAGGTTACATGAGGGAAGCGGGCAGAGGATGACAGGATAACTATCAAAAATGCAGATGAGTCTTGGAATTTCCTACTGTATATACAAACATTAACAATACAAGTTCTTCGTTCGCTCTCACATGCAGTAGCGTGATAGTTTGTGTTCTCTTAGTGGTGGTGTATCAACATTTTATGAACAAATCTAAATCTCTGTTACACTTTTTCAAAGTCTATCTTTCTCTTGTATTAAGAGGAGACAACAACAGGAACGGGTAAACAGTCTTCTCCCTCAGTGGCTGTCATGGCAACATCATTATAGATAATTTAACCCACAAACAATGCTCTCACTTTTCTCATTATCATACACACACACTCTCTCACACACACACACACACACAGACACACTCATTAGTGATATGATACATTTTCTAAAACTTTAAACCAGACCCCTGATACAGTACGATACACTGACACATCAAAAATGTACAGAGTGATTAAGAGGAAGCCATTCCTGTGGATCCTGTATGCACAAAGTCAGTAGGAAATTTAACCCCAAGACCATTTTGGCCTTCGATGTCCATCAGTCCTTGGAAGAGTGGTAAATATTCCTGATCTGCTTTCACTTTCCAAGAATTTTTTCCACTCCTCTTCTCTATGAGATTTGGCCTGGGTGTGGTGTGGTTGCTAACTCTTCCCCATCTTGGCAATCAGCTCATCACAGATCTTCGTCAACTCCTCGATCTCTTTGTTCTGTAAGACAGTTGTTAAAATTACGATAAATATACTTGTTCTTGGACATTTTTAAATGACACCACAGTTAGTGAGAAATTCTGTCTGACCTTTTGCTCCAAAGTGCGCTCCAGAGAGTCCACCTTCATCTGCTCCTTTCTCAAACTGGCCTGATAGGCGGCCTGTTCCTGCTTGGCCTTACCCCGCACTTGAGCTATCTCTGAATTGGCCCTAGAAACACACAAGTGATACAATGAGAATTAAGTCACCTCTCCCTGACCCCCATAAGCTTGAAAAGTCTTATGAAAGCACAACCTTGCGTTTGCAAAACCAATACAGAATTAATCTTTAGAAATTTCAAACAGATGGAATATAAATAATCTACAGAAACAGCTAATTACATTGGCCTATATCCAAACATATTTCAGCTGGGCATTGAGGTATTGTGCAGTTACTGTATTGTAGTGTTTTCCCTTAGGGGAAAATAACACATCGCCATGGTCGAACAAAGATAATGAGAGTGTGTATAGACTCACTTGTCTAGTTTCTCCTCTGCATGAATCTTCAGTGCTTGATAGCGCTGTTCCTCCTTACGGACCCTGGACAGATACTCCTGAGCGCATTTCTTCAGAATCTCTTCATTCTGAAATGGAGTGGGAAATATTTTAATTACCTGCCATGAGGGTTGTCAAGCAAAATTTTAGATGACTTACGAGGCCGCTCATGCCGAAAACACTCATTACTTGTGAATAATTTGTGTGTTACTTACCTTGCGGAAGCCCTCCAGTACATCCTTCATCTTCTCATAACGTCGGAAGAGGTCGGCCAGAGACTTTTCCACGGAGTTGAGGTCAGCCAAGGCCTGATCCTTCTCCATGATCAGCTGCTGGATGGTGTGGTGGGAGAGAGACTTTTCTTTCTGGTCATCCTCTGATAGATACACACAAATATACTGTATCAGATCTTCAGTCTGTGGACAGTCTGCTGTAGGCAGTGGGCACATACACTGTTTAACGACCGACACCAAGACGCATATGCACAAACACTATATTTTTGACAATATATCACAGTGGGTTTGTGGGTTAGTATGATTTAACAGCATTTTATACTACACTACATGAGTATATCTGATAAACCAGTGTAGCATGCAAACAAAAACACTGAACAATGGGGAAATCAAAGAGACCATAGAGACAGAGCTGGCAGCTGGTTTGCTTTGAGGGGCTTCTAGACCCTTCAGTACTAAATGACAAAGCTCCCACAGTATTTCAGCCCCCTCTTAGCTTTCCCTTTCCTTTCCTATCACAAGCTTAGATGACCAACCTGCTTAACTTACTAATTCTACAACCATCCACAGTACGGAAGCAATGTGCAGATGTGCAGGTAAAGATTTCCACTGTGCATATGTACATTTAAAAAAGGTTTCAATAAAATTTTTGTCATGGTGTACTCAACATCAGCAACTGAGGGAGTACGCAAAGGGCAGCTGAATGAGAGTCTGTCCTTAAAAACAATATACAGGGTCTCAAACATACAGGATGAGATGCAACAAATGGACAAACAAATGTCACTTGATGAGATGAAGAAAGTGAGCACATTTGCTCCCTTCTCTGACGGACGGACGGACGGACGGAGAGACGTGAGCTGAAACAAACAAGTGAAGGACAATCCCGCAATACTCACCTGGCATGCCTGTCAGGGTTATCAAATAGTGAGGGGCAAAGATGGGAGCAGAACAGAAAAAAAGGGACTGTGTTAAGTCAAGCTGGGAGGGCAAGACACGTGAGAGAGCCGAGTGTTAGACAGAAGCAGAGACAGATTGTTCCTTTTTTTTGTGACGGTGCTTTAATGAGAGTAAGGAATGAAATTAGACAGCAGCGAAAATCGAATTTTCAGGAATGTCCGGAGGTGGCGAAGAAGATGAGAGGTGAGAGCAGGAATAATGCACAGAAGTGAACCTGCAGCGGAATTTAATGAGTCCAGAGAAGCTGGACTCGAGTGGGCAAAAGGTGAGCACCTCCCCCCTCCAGTGGCATCAAGATTTAGTTCATGTCAATCAAACATGAAAGCAAGCACATAGCAAAGCTAGCACATGTCAGAGGGTAAAGCAATACTTAACTCACTAAAATCAGTGCCAATGGAGTAATGCACACAGAGACCTTATACAGTATAGGTTGCTCTGTTTCCAAATAATAATAATAAAGTGCAGCAAAAAGTAGTGGCAGAGGTTGGGGAAGAAAAGTAACTGGTTTGAAATCAAATTAATGTGTACTGAAAAGGGTCCAGTAACCTGTGTATGTTACATTGAACTCACCTATCATCTGTGCAATCGTCTTCTCATACTCAGCAACAATTCTCCTATGGAGCAGAAATTGTAGATCATAAGTATATGGATGTGGTTATAGCAGACAGTATGACAAATGCCTTCAACGTATACATGTCTCTTATTTTATGCAATGAATCTGTTTGAATTTGTTTCTAAATCAAAAAATATAGCTGGATTTGGGTGGATATTAGTCAGACAGCTGCAAGAAAGTCAAGTTGAGTGAAACATTTGCTATTTTGAGATATTTTGTTAGATCTTAACAATAAACACACATAAACTGTCATCCAGCCTCCAACCTTAGAAAATTGTCTTATTAAGTAACAGCAGAGTTTTAAGTGCCCTAATCTATCCTTAGCTTTGTATTTTTTCCTTTATGTGTGTCTAGTTTCCATCTGAGTCTTGTTGCTAGAAGTTCCCCCACACTCCAAGCCAAGCACCAGCAGGGCCAAATGGGATGTCTTGTTTTGGGAAAAGCAGGTTGCCAGAGGTAAGAGGATTGATTAGCCATTCTTCCCCCTTAGCCTCTTAGCCCCTCCTTATCCTGTGCCCAATCAGTCAAATGAAGTAAGCTTTGTCTTATCCACACTAACTGAGCTGTGGCCAGCTGGACCCACACAACCACCTGCTGACAAGAACAAGGTCTCAGTACTGTGTATCTCTATCTCCATGAATCCCAATCAGCAGCCACTTATCAGACATAGATTGATCATCTGTAGCCATATTATGATCCCAGATTTGAGCTATTGTCAGGCAGTTGATTGTGTATAATCCAAATGACAGCATCTCAAAGCCCCTAACACATTTTCTAGATATCTAACTTTTTAATTCTAAACCTTACATATATCAACTGCATCCATTCCTCTATTCTCCACCACTAACTCTCATGTTGACAGTAGGACTCAGATGGACTTCTTTAACTGGCTCTGCAGTTAACCATGGCTTTGGTTGACAGTGTAAGGGAGATAAACCAATTTACAGGTTAAATGGTGATAATGGGTGGAGTCAACAAGACGCTTAGCATCGTGACACCTTCCCATTTAACAAGAAACACAGGGAGGTGTTAAATCCATGCTGTAGTGTGTGGGTGGGACGTGTG